CACATGCACATGCATGCACATGTGCATACACATATATACACACAGACATACATACATGCACACACAGAGACACACATGCACAATACACATACACACACATGTGCACACACATACACGGACACACACACAAATACACGCACACATATACAAGGCATACATACACATATATACACAGATGTGTATGCTTGCACGCATTCACACACACACACACACGCATGCATGCATGCACACATACACATGTGCGCGCACATACACCCCAGGTCAGTGTCTCTCAATGAGAAGATACCTGAGACCTATATACTAACCCACATACTCAATAAACGCATAAAGGCCAAATACAAAAGCAGTGTTATGACCAGCTTGTCGACTCTCTCCACACCTGCCCCAACCTCATGGCTCTTCGTTCTCCAGAATGGCATCTACTTCTTGGGCACCCCACGAGCATTTCCTGACTTCTCCCGCCCAGGGCATTTATATGATGCAGCACCATAGCCCAGTGGACAAGTTCACACTCTCCATGCCTTATCTTCCTTACATGCAGAGTGGGAGAACAGTGACCAGTCCTTCCTCCTGGGCTGCTGTGTTGCTGGAGTCATTTGGTCTGTGTGAGGGGCTTAGGACTGAGCCTGAGCACTGGTCACCCTGTGAGAATAGGCTCCGGTTAGCCCTCTGCCCAGGAAGCTCTCTCTACCTTCCTCTCCACTGACCCAAATACACCATCTTTTACAGAGCTGACCTTTAACCCGCATCCTCCATCAGCACAGCATATGGGTGAGCTCATTCCAGCACGCATATTCACTGAGGGCCTGCCATGTCTTCCTGTGTCTGGGACAATGAGGATCAATGAGACCCGTCCTGCCCTGCAGACCCCAACCTGCTCAGGGAAATGGACAGGCATTGCAAGAAGGATCGTCACTGCTGGCTCAGCAGGAGAGCACGAGTCGGCTTCACTCCTTCAGTGCTCTCGAGACTGTTACTCCTTCACCCCACGGTTCCTCGGCTAAGGCACCTGCTCAGTTCTATGATCCGTTTCTGCAAATCTGCTTTGATTAGTGAATCTGATGGGAAAGCACCTGTCTGGACTTCATCCTGTCCTTCTGTCCTCCGGCCTACTCCTCCACAAGGAGCACCTCTTGTTAACTAGATGTTACTCTTGGAGTTGGCGTGAACATCTAAGCACCCCCAGAGAAAAACTCCCGAGGGTTGGAGAGTCTGGCCAGACTTGGAACTCCCTAGTCCTAGTTCCATGGCCTCTTGGCATATACGGAAAGTTCTACATCGATATAGACTGGTGTGTTAGAAAAAGCAAGAAACAGGGCAGCAGCAGCTATTGACTGAGGTCTTTTCATGTGCCAGGTATTAGAGTAAATACTTTATATGGTTTTTTTGGTTCTCCCAGAAGCCTTTTGGGAAGATGTCCTGGTTACCCTGTCACCACTGAGGAAAATACTGTGCAAAGAACTCCCAACCACAAAAGGAGGAGGCACTGAAAGCCGGCCATTTGAAATCTAGGAGGACAAATAGTGTCAGACAGCTCCACTCCTCCATCATGTCCGAAGGGATAGTTCGACCCTTGCATTGCCAGATTCACAGGGAGGAAAGAAGAAGTGCCCAGGACAAAAGGAAGAAAGAGCACCCTTCCTAAGACAGCTCACCCAGAACCCACAAACGCATAAATCTAGCCTCATCAAGATCACATCACCTTGCAGAAATGTCGACTCGGCCAGAAATAATGGGGGAGCGCTTCAGTCCAGGAAGAAGGACGTGAAGAAACTCGCCCCACACTGACAACAGAGCAAGGATTCTGGGAGCCATGGTGTTTTTAAACCTTCCACTTAACTGATTTTTGTTTCCACCCCACTACTGTAAAGCTCAAGGCATTCAAGGCATGGGAATTGGGTCTGGGTTCTTGCTGAGAAAAAAGAAAAGAGTTGGGTCGGCCGTGTAGCTCAATGGTCACTGCGGTAGAGTGCGGCGTGCCTAACACAGACAAGGTCCCTGGTTCAATGCCCAGCTCCACAAGGGGACTGGGGTGGGGTGGGGGGACATGAAGAGAGGCACTGGTGCGGATGCTCTTCAGAGCTAACTTCACCAAATACACCTAACCAAATAAATCTGGCTCTCACCAAGCTCCCCTAGCTCTCAACTTGGGCAGCAAGGAACTTCCCCTACACCTCATTCATCAACACGCTGAGACCGAGCTTCTCGCTAAACCTAAAATTAACGATGCGCGCAATGACTGGCTTAAAAATAGCCTGGGGTCCCCTGCAAAAAGAGAAAGATCCTAAAATGTGAGGAGAGACCACAACGCGACAGTATGAGTCGCTCCTGCAGCCACAGTCCCTGTGAAAAGTCCTCGCTCATTCAGCCCCACCTCTGAACGTTCCATTCAGTTCACTGGTGACAAATCTGGGGTCAGTTTCCCCAGTGCAGCGCGAGCTAGCCTCTGCGGTTCCCTCAATGGTGTAAGGACCGAGTAACCGCGGTGTAAACACAAACCTGTGATGCTGAAAACGACAAGCGGGAGGAAGTTGAGGTCACTGCAGGGCAAAGATGGTACCCGGAGACAATGCCACCGCCTGCAATGAGTCCTGCATGTCTATGAAGCTGCAGGAGAGCTGCTGAGCAGCTTCATCTCCCAGGCTCTTTGATTGGCTTCCCAATTAACTCTGACCCAACATGCCTGGGGTCACCTACAAGTAACATGCCCAGGGTCACCTACAAGTAACATGCCCAGGGTCACCTACAACCAACAGGTGGATAGGAGTTTGAAGATGAGGCTATGGGTTTCACCCACTGAGTCTCATCTGGCAAAGTAGCCAGGTCCAACAACAGTACCACAGAGTGAGACTCGAGACAGAAGAAAAGCTGCTAATTCCAGCCCCAAATTGCCATGGAAAAAGCATCAAGTTCCCCCAAAGATAAGACGCCTCCAGTTACATCTTCCGGATAACAAATGCACGACTTTGTCAAAAGGAATTTTATTTTTATGAGAATCTTATTAAACGTTCTTTTGGGGTATAAATGGAAGTTCAGTTGATGCATTAGAGAGAGATTTTTGGACAGCCAAAAGTGAAATCGCAAACCTTCAAATTCAGAAAGCAACACAAACACATTCTGGGGGTAAGGCTCATGAGTAAATTCAGTCAACGTTTATCCGGTGCCTGGGCCCTAATGCTAAGGAGCCCCTTTACTTGGCGCTCTGAGAAGCAGAAAGAAGCAATTAGAGTCTTCCTGAACAACAAGCATAACCGCGATGCCAGGGCTCCCTCCCATCATCCCCCCCTTTTTGACCCCAAAACCTGACTCCCCCAAGGCCTCCCAGGTTTTTTCAGATCACTGATCTGCACCTTCAGACAGCTTTCTCTCGACACATCCAGCACATTACTAACCAGACCAGAAACTCCCCGCACATCTCCCAGTTCGGATCTGTGACCTTCAGTGTGCTGATTGTGTCAAGGTTACTCTGCCCACTAACTATACATCCTTCACCACTGGGCCTCCACTCCTTCCTGGATCCTTGATACCAACGCCAAACCTCCCAGCCCTGCTTGGGCCATTTCAAATCTGTCTTCTTCCACATTCAACAGCTAGTGAGATTTTTGCCTCTCCTACATCCTCTGGGATGCTTTGGGTGGTGGAACACATCAGCAGGAAAGCCACATCTAATAATACTGACATTGCCTGGATTCTAAACCCAGACCTCAGGCAAGGTAATAAAGGAAGCCCAACTTGGCATCTTTCGTTGTAAAAGCCCCCGTCAAAAATCAAGAACAGCCCACATTCTCCTAGCTTATATCAAATGTTCAATTTCCTGTTAAAAAAATCTGACAGCTTTTTAAGAACCTCAAAATTGCACCTGTGGGGTGACACCATCCAGGAACCAAGACTATATCCATACCTCAAATCAATATCTGAGCTACAAATACAACAAACAGGTATGAATGAATCTACCAAGGAGAGACTTTTTTAAAAAAATAAAAATGTGTTCTTCTCCTAAGTGGGCAGCAACTAGTAACCCGACATAGCCCTAAGAACCTCAGCATGAGGGTGGGACGCTGGGGGAACAGCGCAGCTGGCCTGACACCTTCCTATGGGATCTCGCTCCCCTGAAAACAGAATGTCATCAAGCTCCCACATCCCAGGCGAGTGCAATTTAATTCTAAGTCTGGAAACAAGACCCTCCAAACCAGCCCTGGGCTGCCTCATCTAAACGCTTCCTGTAAAGACAGAGAAGGACTCCCAGGTCAAGAGGGTTCCTGGCTATCTCTAATTCTAGTTGCTTCGTTTGCTTAGGGTTTTCCCCCCCCCCCCCCCCCCCCCCCGTCTTCTTGTGAGCCCAATTTCTGTGAATCAGTGGTGGCTGCATCACACTCCCTCCTGGGGGCTCCCGGGAATGGGGCTTCCTCTGGCCACGGGTGCTCTCCCTGCTCAGAATGGCTCAGCTGCCAGATCTCTGATCTTGCAGCATACTTGGACAGGAGCCGAGCATCATCTCTCAGCTAGAGCTCTGGTTCAGCCACTTGCAGCTCAGTTAAACCCATCGGGAAACCTTTAGCTTGTGAGATTTGGTGTTTAGGATCCTTTCAGTACAGCCAAGATACCAGCCAGCCTCCCTCTTGAGACGGATGCACAGATGGATGGATGGGCTCAGTTTAACTCAGACACGGTTCCCCTCTGACCAAGGAGCTGCACGGCTGGAAACCTCCACACTCTCCTCCCTCTAAGGAAGACCAAAGACGGAAAGAACTAACCTAAAGTACCCACTTGACCATGAGAACGCCACAGGCAGGAACAGGCACTGAACACACCATGCGGAACTGAGCATCAACAGTCTGGCCCCACAAGCCCCAAACAGGTAGACCGCTTTCCAAATGCAGGCAGCTCAGAGGCTTCCCTCCGCCGCACTCCCCCACTCCCACGGCCACCAGCACCACCACCTTTGGCTCCGTGTGCCAGGCATCCATGCAAGTCCCCCAGAAAGTCACACCGGCACTTACTCAGATCTACCAAGAAGTCCTAGTGCCTTGCTATATGAAAAGCCCACAAACGGCAGTTCTTCGCCCGAGAAACCCGAGGGGCTCAGCTGGCACGGAGAGGATGGAACCCACGAATTCTTCTCTGGTTCATCGAAATTGGAGGTGTCATCATCAGACTTGAGGGTGGGAACGAAGGGGGGAGGAGCTGGTTAAAAGAAAAACAAGAAGGCGGGGGGGGGGGGAGAAAAATTCAGATGAATTCCACACTGTTGCGGAGAAGGGAAAAAAAGCGCCTTACTCCTTCAGCATTGGAGGCAGCACTGCAGCGCCTGCTTTCAACCCAGCTCCTAGCGCAGGCAGACCCAGCCTCGGCTCCTACAGCAACAAGAGATTAACCCCTTCACTGCCAACATGGCCACCAACCCGCAGACAGCTTGCCTTTCAGGGCAGGGGGTAAAGTGAAAGATAGAAGTCAAACAGGCCACTGGGTTCCTACAGAAGCACTTGGGCAACTCACCTGAGCAGACGGCTCCTGCCTGATATTTCCAGAAGGCTTCCACTCCATGCCAGTTGGCTAATGCCAAGGTTCCCGATGACCTAAACCCATTGAGCCCCTCTTCCAGACAGGTCTAAATGAGCACTAGTTAGCGACATCCGTCGCTGTCAGAAAGAAGGTATGTATGTATGTCTCATGACCGAGCCAGAATGAGAGGCGAGAAGAGGCCGGGGCTTGGGAGGCTGTGAACTGCCACTGGGTTACCACTGCAGTCGGCTTCATTCATAGCCAGATGAATCTAATTGGAGATCTTATTAACCACTTTTTTTTTTTAGTTCATTATCTCTCCTCCCCAGCACAATCCTGCCCACTGAATCCACCGCAGTTCAATCCATATAATCAAAAACAGCCAAATAAAGTTGCAGTGATTTGCAGCAGCCAGAGCCAATGGGGGCACACAGAGACCCACAGATGCACATCTGCGGCAAGGCTCCTACCTCCTTACGGCATGACTCCAGCTAGGGGGGTCATCACAGCCTCGCTGCTGCCTGCCGACCTACTAGGCTCTCTCACTCAGGGATGTGAGCGGCTGCCCATCGTAGGGGGCTCCCGGGGGCATTTCCAGCCAGAAGTGTTACCATGGTTGCAGGCTAGAGCGTCCGCAGTGGACCAGGCAGGGGGAAGTTGGCAAGCCGGCATCACATCCCCTGCAGTGCAGGCTGCATGCTCCCCACTCCTTAGTGCCTGCTCTGGCGGTAACCCCACCTGGCCGCCTGCGTGGCAGGGGCCAAAGCTGATTTGAGTGACAGAGCAGTGTGAGTCACTGCCCACCAGGGCTCGCTAGAGCTCCCCCTAGGACAGCTGTCACAGCCCTTCACCGTCCAGACTTCTTTTTTAACCTCTTATTTTCCAGACCAAGCTCTGTGCTGGGAAAATGAGCAGCAAGCATGTCTTCAGCCTACAGACTCCTAAGAATCCGGTTGTTTCCGAGGCTTCCCCAAGGACAATGGCCAAAGCAGCACAGAGAAGTGACGGGAATGACGGAAGGGTGCGGAGGAGAGAGCGATGAACACAGAGGGCTGGCTGCTTCTGGGAAATGCAAAAGAACATTCCCAGAGCTTCAGGTGCACCGAGGTGAGGTGGAAAAGAGACGATCAAAAATGTGCACCAGCAGAAAATGGTTTAACACCTCCAGGCTCTCGGGAGCATCTCCCCCCCTCCCCCGGAGTCAGGAGCTACAAGCTCTAACGCTATAAACGTTAGCTTACGGGAAGAAAACTGAGATTGACAGCATCAGCTCACATCCCCTTTGCACGTCCAACAGCCCCGGAGCAAACCCAACAAGACTGCAGTCACCCAGTGACTTCCTTAGAAGTAAAATAAAATAAAATTAAAATAACAGAAATTATGATGTGTAAGGATCAAAAAGAAATGGTTTCCATTCCAAAATAAGGAAACCCAGATAAAGACTGAAAACATACTGACGAAGACACGTAGGTGGTACCAACACACACGTGTGGTGGGCTAATGGCTCACGGCTTGCAATCAGAACCGAGTCCCAGTTTCACCCACTCGGAAGTCGTGTGACCCAGGCAAAGTCACTCGACCTCTCTAGGCATCACAGGTTACGATGAGGTTATTTCCAGTTTTGAAAGAGTCTCCCTAAGAAGCGCAGCTGGCCTCAAAGTTGTAACCCTCTTGTCTCTGCTCGCTGGGCATTGGGGTGCATTGGGATGACAGGGGCATCCCCACCCCATCTGTTGAATGGCTTCCTTCTGTTTGTTTGCTTATTAATCTATATAAGGTGCTTATTATGGCTCTTTACATACAGTAAATACGCATGAAAGTGACCTGTGGTCACTACGGTTACTGCTGGTGTACAGTGCGCGTTTATGGTAGATCTTCCAGTCGCTGAAGTGAGACACACATGCATCTGCATTGACGTCTCCGCTGTACGAGGCACAGACACATCATGGTGACTGTTTGTGTTAATTCCATCACAGCGATTAATTCCTCGCAGAAGTCGAATTCCCTTTCCACTATATACTAATTTATCTGTAGGAGACTAAAATAGAATCCCATTTCTGCGTGAAGGGGATGACTAATAGAGAGGGCTAGGAGCCACCCTCAGTGAAGTAATTATGATTTCTGAATTTCTGTACTATAAAATAAGATTCATCTGTAAGCCAGTTTCATGTGGTCAAGATTAAAAAGGGCTAGGGCTGACAGCACAGGCCTGAGGCAGGAGGATTGCAGGAGGAGGACCTGCCTGGGTGACAGATGAGCTCAAGGCAGAAAGATAAATCAGTTGGTAAAATGTTTGCATTGGAAACATGAGAAGCTGAGTTCAATCCCCATATGTTAAAAAAAATAATAATAAAAGTCAAGCAGGATGGCATTAAATATCCGTTCCGGGTGGCGGACTGGAGGCTCTCTGATGCTCCGTGGTCAGCCGGCCTCGCCTACTTGTAAGTTCAAGGCCAGTGAGAGATCGTGTCTCCAAAAGAAAAAGGAGAGAGGCTAAAGAGATGGGAGCATTTCCTACTCTTCCAGAACTGGGGTTCAGTTCCCAGCATCTACATGGCAGCTCATAACCATCTGTAACTCCAGCTCCAGAAGAACTGGCACCCTCTTCTGGTTTCCACCAGCATCAGGCACGCACGTGGTACACAGGCATATATGCACATATGTGGTACACAGGCATATATGCACATACGTAGTACACAGGCATATGTGCACACACGTGGTACACAGGCATATATGCACACATGTGGTACACAGGCATATGTGCACACACGTGGTACACGGGCATATATGCACACACGTGGTACACGGGCATATGTGCACACACGTGGTACACGGGCATATGTGCGCACACGTGGTACACGGGCATATGTGCGCACACGTGGTACACGGGCATATGTGCGCACACGTGGTACACAGGCATATGTGCGCACACGTGGTACACAGGCATATGTGCGCACACGTGGTACACAGGCATATGTGCACACAAAACCATACACATATTTCTTTTCATTTTTTAAAAAGATGAATGGTACCTAATGAATGGCACAAGTTTGTCCCCTGGCCTTCACACGCATAAACACACATGTACACACACACACACGTATCCATAGATACACAAACATGTAGTAATAAGGGCGGTGGGGCTGCATCCCCAGCACCCCGGCTGCCTGGCTAGCTTATGCCCGAAATAACAACACACAAACTGTATTCATTTAATCACTGCTTGGCCCATTTTTATCTAGCCTCTTTTAGGCTAATTCTCACATATTAATTTAGCCCATTTCTAATCATCTGTGTAGCGCCCCTAGGTGCGCTTACCAGGAAGATTCTAGCCTATGTCCATCCTGGGCCAGAGCTTCATCGCGTACGTCTGCCTGGGAGCTGGGAGCATGGCATCTCTCTGAGGCGTCTGCTCCCGAGAGGAGAGCTGTGGAGTCTGAGCTCACTTCCTCTTCTTCCCAGCGTTCTGTTCTGTTTACTCCTCCCACCTATCTTCTAACCAATGAGGGCCAAGCAGTTTCTTTTTATTTAACCAATGACCTTCCTCCATCACAAACACACACACACATACACACAAAGGAGTCTGAGAATATAGTTCAGTGGTAGAATATTGCCTAGCATGGGCAAGACCCTGGGTTCAATCCCACAAAGAAAGAGAAAGAGAGAATATAAAAAGGTCAGACAAGTTTCAAGTTGAGAGGCTGGACAACTCACAGTACAGATTAGAAGCTAGAGACGTCAACCTCTAGACAGGTAGTTCAGAGCAACAGGATCTTCTGAGAACAAGGGTTTGGGGGGCATCATCCACGCGGCGTGAGAAATCATAGCCTCAAAGCTAAAGAGAAGTGGCCCAGCAATGAGCTGACTCTCCAGCAAGGATGAGGCTGCCCCTTGTCTAGGCCCTTTAGTAGGGAAGAGATGTGGCAGCTACCAAGAAACTGCAGCTGGGCCAGCCTGTCTGCATCTGTCGTGTCCCACGAGTGCGAACCATGACTTGGAAGTGAACATGAACACTGGCAGACACGAGTGGGGAAAGGCTGCATGAACACACATGACCAGCACACGCAGAAGGACTACCCTTACTCCATACGAGGGGGGAAAGGGGGGAAAGGCTGCCTGAACACACATGACCAGCACACGCAGGACTACCTTTACTCCATACGAGGGTGGAAGGGGGAAAAGGCTGCGTGAACACACATGACCAGCACACGCAGAAGGACTACCCTTCTTCCACACAAAGCCCATTGGGACTGGTGAGAAAATTAGCTCTCCAGGGCCTGAAAAAAGAACAATCTAAGCCAGGTACACTGATGTGTGCCCATAGTCCACAGTCCCAGAGATGGGAGTCACTGGACTCTGAGACACAGCGTGAAAAACCTAAACACCTGGATGCCACATCATAAAATGACCCTGTAGGGCCTGGCCAAGTCCATTAGATGAAACGGGGAGAGTCTGGTGGTCCCTCTAGATGGGGACCATGCCTACCATCAGCATAGAAGAATGACTGAGCCTCACTCCCCAGCACAGTGGACCACAATTCTCAGTGGGAACAGGAACTAATGATGTGGAATTCCCCTCTGTATGCTGTGAAAACCATTGACAAATAAAGAAACTGCCTTGGCCTGTTGATAGGGCAGAACTTAGGTAGGCGGGGGAAGGGGGAACTAAATTGAATGCTGGGA